TCCAAGCCTGTCGCAGCCGTTCCGCCTCTGAAACGGTGACAGGGAAGCCAATTTAATCTCTTCACTTCCGAAGATCAGGATCCGTGGACCGGAGGGCGCAGATTCCTCTCTGCACCCTGGGGCTATCGAGGTCCGCCCCCCTTTCGGAGGACGGGTGCTTTTAAGGTGAAAAGACGCCATAAAGTGTGGTTTTCATTTCGGCACCGGGGCTCCCCACCCACCTCGGAGCCCAACAGGGGGACGGCCCAACACTCCCTCGGGAGGTGGTCACCGCCAGGGCTACCCCGGTGCTATACGGGGCGAACGACGCCTCCCACACGGCCAGGTGTAACCGGGGAGACCCCTCCCCGTCCTCACCGTGGTTCAGCGCCGCCGCCCCTTGACCCCTTAAGCCCCTGCGCGCGGCCAGGCGCCCCAAGCGGAAACCCGCAAGGAGCACCCAACCGCAACGCGAGCGACAAGCCGCTAGACCCGTGTGGGGCCCCACGGGCCCCTCACGCCCCCGGATATTCTGGCCAAAGTGGAGTGTTGGGACGCGCCGTGACTGACCCGCACGACACGCCCCTCAGCCACCAGGATCCGATCAACCCGGGGACGTGGGCGAGGGGGCACGGCGACCCGGATAAAACGAGGATGAGGAGTGGTGATGGGGCCGGATGACGGAGAACGGGTAATGGGAAGCGGAGCGGGCGGGACAAGGAGCAGGAGCTCACGTACCGGCAGGGTCGCTACGCCCTGAAAGGAGTAGCTTGCGCTGTCCATCCGTTACCGGAGCTAGGACCCGAGGGGGCGCTAGTCCCCTACACCAACCGAAGCCAGTGCCCCTGCGGGCTGGAGAAAACGGACACCACGCGGCATCGCGCCGCCAGCCCGCCGGCACCGCAGTCCTGGGCGTCACCTGTACCTCCGGAGCAGTGCCGGCGGCGGTCGGCTCCCGCGGCGGCTCGGCGGATGTGGGTCGAGCTCGCGCCGGCGCTGGACTCCCGCCGGCGGCTGGCGACGCCTGGCCGAGAGCAGGTTAACTATCAGGCCGGGCACCGCCACGTCGACCGGGCACGGGGGGGGAGGGGGGGGGGGGGGGTGACACGGTGCGGCGGTCGACAGCGCATGCCCCACCGACCGCGACCGCAGGCAAAACAGGCAGCTTTCCACGCAGCTATATCGCTATTACGGGTTTGTGTACCACTTGGTGGCACAGCTGGTGTGCCAACTGGTTCAGGTTTGCGGTGCGACCTTCCGCATCCAACAGCTTGGAGATCAAACTCAATCACACCAGTCTCGCTGTGCTGTCCACGTCATGAGACCGACTACAGTCCCACACCAGGCCTCGTCCGACCCACACCCCGACGGTCCAAGAGAGGCCACGCGCTTGTCCACCGCCCGCACAACGGCGCGCGCGGGGGCCTCGATGCCGTCCCACCGCGTGTCCCAGCCCGCTGGCTGAGCCCCCGTTACGGCAGGGCGCAGCGTGGCGGCACTGACCGTGGCTGGCCGGCCGCTCCGCTCCTGCTCCTGTTCCCGCTCCTGCTCCTGCTCCTGCTCCTCGGCGACCGGCTCCCGCAGCATGCGATCCAGCTGCTCGGCGACGGGCGGCGGTGACGGCGAGCCCGCCGGCCCCGGCTCGCCCGCCGCCGGCGAAGTGGCGCGGGCGGCGGCCGCGGAGGCGGCGACGGCAGCGGGGGAGGGGGAGGGGGCGGGGCTGGCGGTGGGTCCCGGACTCTCGCCGGACGCAGCACCTGCCGCCAGGGAACGAATGCTCATGCTCAGGGTCTCGGCTGGCCATCAGCGGGGTTTGAACTGAATCTCAGCTAGGTATCAGCGTCGCCGTCGGTGTCTCAGCAGTGTCCTCACCGTGTCTCAGCAGTGTGTTAGTCGGGACAGAGTGTTCTCGCACGACCTCAGCAGTGTCTCAGTGTCCCACGTCACCAGTAAGCCAGGGAAGGTCGTGTGGTCTACATCCAGACGTCGGTGCCTATCTGCATCACGGCCCGATGTGCCGCGCTGCTGTGACCGCTCGGCATGAAGGCAAAACATCACATCACATGACATTAGAACCCCTCCGCCTCCGGAGAAACCCATGGGCCGTCTCAAGAGCTGCTGACAGGCCGCGGCGGCGCCGGCGTGCGTGGCCAGGCCGCGGCGAACCCACCAGCCCTCCCGGCGGCGCCTCGTGTGACCGGTCCGGTCAACAGCGCCGCAGCCCGGCTCCGGTACGTCACGTCCGTGTCAGACCTGCACTGCACCCCCGCCCGGCTCCGGTACGTCACGTCCGTGTCAGACCTGCACTGCACCCCCGCCCGGCTCCGGTACGTCACGTCCGTGCTAGCCCTGCACTGCACCCCCGCCGGGCTACGGTACGTCACGTCCGTGTCAGACCTGCACTGCACCCCCGCCCGGCTCCGGTACGTCACGTCCGTGCTAGCCCTGCACTGCACCCCCGCCGGGCTACGGTACGTCACGTCCGTGTCAGACCTGCACTGCACCCCCGCCCGGCTCCGGTACGTCACGTCCGTGTCAGACCTGCACTGCACCCCCGCCCGGCTCCGGTACGTCACGTCCGTGCTAGCCCTGCACTGCACCCCCGCCGGGCTACGGTACGTCACGTCCGTGTCAGACCTGCACTGCACCCCCGCCCGGCTCCGGTACGGAACGTCCGTGCTAGCCCTGCCCAACGCTGCGTTGCGCCGCCCGCCCGACCTCCCCCAACCCCGCATCTCCTACGGCCGAGCATGAGCCGACGGCGCCCGGCCACAACTCCGGTCCTGGCACGGCGCCAGGGGCGGTCACGACACCGAGCGTGACCGTGACTGCACCGTCAGCGCCACCCACCGGCCATGTCACGAAACTTGGCGACGAGCGCGCCGAACTGGGCGGCGGCCGCCGGGCCGCGTCTGTTCGCCAGCTGAGCCGTCCAGTCCCGCTGCAGGCGGCCGTCCTCCAGCAGCGTCTGCAAGTTCACCTGCCGACCGGGCGGCCGGTGTCACAAAGGCGGGAGGTCCCCCGTTCGATTCCCGCCGACGGAAATTTTCACAGATGCTGTTTCAGCGTGGGTGTTTTGAGATTATTGCCCGTCGAAGACACGTGCGTCGATGAGTGATTTGGAAATAACATGGCTTGCGGTTGGCAAGCGGCGGGTACCACATCGAAGGGAGTATTTTCCGCCCGTTTGTCGGTGTCTTCGACTAATGCCTGATGATGCCAGATGTGTGGGTTTGCTTTGATATTATACAATTATTTTATCTTCGCGTTTCCTGGTGAGAGCCATGACATTCACCAGGAAATGTTCCAGCGCTCATGACGAACCGTTTTGTTGGAGAAACATGTTACAATATACAATACAATACAATATACAAAAACAATACAATATTACAGGCTCTATCAACGTTTGCTGCAAGAAAAACAGCATACAACCCGACAGACGTGAAAACGACCTCATGCCAGACAGAAGTGCAAAAAACCTCAAGCAACAACTCCACCCACTCACGTCCGGTGGCAGAAGCGCCACAAGGTCGGTGGTCGAGAGTCGCTGAAACACAGACTCGCCATCCGCTCCCGAGGTGGCGCCAGCGGGCGCGAAGCGGGGACCGGGCCAGGCCGGCGCGCCGTTGACCGCCGATGGCAGGCGCGCCCCTGGGAAGGGCAGCAGCGGCTGCAGCAGCTGGGGCCGCAGCACCAGCGGCCGGCCCAGTAGATAGCCGGGCGTCACCGGGCTGCCGGTGGGGGGGGGGGGGAGGGGGTCAGCACCGGAGAACCGTCGTCGACACGGCCGCTCGCCAGCACAGCGAACCGCGTCACCATGACGTCAGCAGCGGCAGCCGAGCAGCCGACGTCAGCTGCGACGACATGACTTCTGCTGCCACAACATGACGACCGCTGTTGCCACATGACAGAGAACGGGGTCACGTCACTGCCGCGCGACTCGTTTCAATGGTCTTAACTTTTGCGAAAAACTCACACTCGACAAAACGTCCACAGTCAAACCTTCCGACCAATTCTCCCGAACTACAAAAGCATTACGAGCAAGCCTAACACCGGCGGGTTTCACAGACAAAATGTGTAAGGCGAAACCTACTCGACAAATCCTCGAATCTATTGCCAAGCCTTTCCACGCCCTCTCCTGCCAAACATTTGCATGGCCCGACTGCTGTATGCAGAAAATTGGCACCACACAAATGTTCGCCATCAAGACGTCGGCGGCCAAAGATTTACGTCGTTTGGCCAGAATATGTGTAGACACAACACAACAAATCGTCCCACAACCTTCCATAAGGTCGGGCTAGGCTACGTCTGGAGAGAGAGGTGTTGTTTGCATCAGTCCTGCTGCGCTCTGGTGATTTTTTGTCTGCAGGTCAGACTATCTGGAGGTTTTCTCCGCAACAGTTCCGCCATGCACCAGTCATGTTTGATCAGTTTATCACATACCGTCGTATCACGCACAAATCTAGTCCGTTATGTTCAAGCGTGTAAGTTTTAACCATGGTCCACATTTCACCAGTGCAAGTCACGTGCTTTGGCATTTTACCCGTCAGCACTTTGCAGCATATAGCAACGTCACGTAAACATTTTTCCAGGACCCGCCTAACTGACAGCGTCGCCAGCAGCAACGCTCTCCACCATGCCCTCGGCCGAGACCGGCGCGGCAGCCCACGTCAGCACAGCAGACCGGCGCGGCAGCCCACGTCAGCACGGCAGACCGGCACGGCAGCCCACGTCAGCACGGCAGACCGGCGCGGCAGCCCACGTCAGCACGGCAGACCGGCGCGGCAGCCCACGTCAGCACGGCAGACCGGCGCGGCGGCCCACGTCAGCACGGCAGTCGACGTCAGCACAGCAGACCGGTGCGGCAGCCCACATCAGCACGGCAGCCCACGTCAGCACAGCAGACCGGCGCGGCAGCCCACGTCAGCAAGGCAGACCGGCGCGGCAGCCCACGTCAGCACGGCGGCGCTTCACACACCGCGCACGCCGCACCGCCGCAGCGCCCAACGCGCGCCACCCACCTGATGTACGACATAGCCACGTGATAACGAGGCAGCCAGGACGACAGGACCGGCGCCGCCAGCGGCGGCTGCACCAGCGGCGGCGGCGGCGGCTGCTGCGGCCGGAAGGTGGGCGCCAGCGGGTTCAGGCCGTGCAGGCTGTGTAGCTCGGCGGCATCCAGCTGAGCACGCAGCTCGCCCGTCGTGGTACCGAACAGGCCGCCGCCGCCGGCCGCCGCCGCCACCAGCGCCTCCCAGTACCTAAGCACAGGGGGAGGAGTCAGCGGGGACGACAACCAGCGCCTCCTGGGGGGGGGGGGGAGGGAAGAGGTCACGGAGGGCGCCCGCCACCGTCTCCCTGTACCTGAGGAGAGCGGCAGACAGCTATGACGAGGGGTGAGATCACGCCCCCCCCCCCCCCAGGACGTGCTATGTGCGTGAGGAAGGGGAGGGGCGGAAGAGAGGGGGAGGGGGAGGTACGGCGGCACCGGGCGGACGACGCCGCACGGCAACGGACACAGCATGGCGCTTCAGTCTACAGCTTTCTTTTGCTGAAAAAACGGCGCCCTGGCAATTACGGACGTCATTTACACTGGACGGCTACGATCATTTACATTTACACTGGACGGCTACGATCTTATTACTCCCTACTTTGCAATGCGTGCTTCGCTGCTATGCTGAGCTCATCATTTTCGGCATTTTCAGCAACAATATGGTAAGGCCAGGAGACGGCATATGATCACCAAGGTGTGAGGTGGTAATACCAAGACAGCAAACGATCATCAATATGCCAGGAGGCTTACACAAACATGAGCAACCCGCTGTCTGCAATAAATTTTGCAGTATTCTCCCTCAACCGAATTTTGTCATCCAACAAAATCATTCCGATCTAATCTGTTTAGGTTCGCCGGCACACGTGGAACATTCTCTCGATGACTTAATGCGAGACGATGTGTGTGTGTGTGTGTGTGTGTGTGTGTGTGTGTGTGTGTGTGTGTGTGTGCGTGCGTGCGTGCGTGCGTGCGTGCGTGCGTGCGTGCGTGCGTGCGTGCGTGCGTGCGTGCGTGCGTGCGTGCGTGTGTGTGTGTATGTGTGTGTGTGTGTGTTTGGTTGGGTTTTTGGTATGTGTGTGTATCGTCATTCATTGTTCTTAAAACTCGACTGCTTCCGTAATTGGGCTTTTGCCTGTGGAATTATTATGGCCTGTATAAACAAATCAACATATCAACTGGCTCCAATGCATTGAAAGGACCGGACCTGGCGATCTGTGACCAACATCAGGCCCCTGATGATGGCTCCTGGTGTACATCACTCCTCTTGCTGAGCATGAGTCTAAACGTCGAGCTCATGCAGAGTAAAGCGTGATATCACCAGTGGCTCCAGGCGTGGTGCAACTCGTCTGTTGTCATCATTGATAATCGCTTTCGTAATGGCGTCGGAAAGAGCTATCAAACGTAACCGAGAACAGGTGAATATTCAACACAAAAATAGCTTTCAGCCCTGATGTTCACATTCAGAATGCTAGCCATTTCGGAGTCACGTACACCAGTCGAGGAGCTCGGCAATTACGAGCCAAACAACTGGATCCATAATGCTCTACAACAGGCAGGCCGCCACGTTACGATAGGCCCGCGGTCTTCAAGCATACGTGACCCAGTACCCCCGAAATGACTTACTTTGCAACCGCAGTAATGCGTTCGAGGTAGAGCCACGGCTGCCTTGACAACCAGGCTCGCTAATCGCTGAATCGCTGTAGTACTTCTCGAGTGCTAGGGCCCTTATTTAGTTTTCAGTGACCATATACAAAAACAAGGCGCAGAGCTGCAGCCTTGGCTTCCGAAGCTGCGAGTTAACCTGGTGCTTTTTCCACCGTCCCGTTCCCCGCTACCGCGAACAGGTCAGGGCGTGGGCGTCACTTACTACACTTTCAGTAAGGGGAGGGGGCGGCTGCTCAATGGATGCATGTTTGAGCCTCCCCGCCCTCGATGAACATGGGCATGGGCAAAAAAGGAATGTTGGGCGAAGGAAATGTAGAAAGTTTTCCTAACATACTGGCACACTTATAGCCACCTAAAGACAATACTATGAGTTAAGTGCTCAAAAGCTTAACATCAGAGCGTCAATGTCCCACAAATGACGCCTGTATGTTCAGCCTGGGGAGAAGACTACGGTTGCGCAACATTTCTTACATTCTGAGATCCGCGTGGTCTTTTGCAGTTGCTAAAATTTTCCCTTAAAAGTTGGAAACACTTCACCGTCCGTTGCCGCGCTTTAGGCTACCCAATTCTCACCTATTGGCTTGCGCGCTCCGCGTAAACGTGCGTCTCCAAGGCGTTGACAAAACCGGTTACGAACGTTACACTTCGTTTTTCCTTCATGCAATATCTCTGGACAGATGTCCCAAGAGCCCTTATACGCTACGTTCTTCCCAGCGCAGTTTCCTTTCAGGCCAATGACACATGCATGTCGAAGCCTCATCTCATCGGGCCACGCTGGAGCCTTGGAAATGATCGAACTGGCAAGGACTTCCAACAAGGAAGGATTTCAAACAGGCAAGGACTTCCAACTAGGACCGATAGTCCAGACTACCGCCGGACCGTGCAAATCATCAATGGTACGGTGACGTTGACCTGTCTGCACAGAACTCCATCCATAGCCAGGAGCTTCACATACCGGCAATGTATGTTTCACCCTTCTACGACTTGATCGCGAGCCTGATTCATTGTTAAACAAGGGCGTGGGCATGAATTTACAATCGGAGAGGGGGACAGCTAAACGCGAAAACCAAGTTAGGCGTGCTGCAATCGCGCCATTCCTTGTCCATTGTGTAATAGCATCACACTTTCACGATCGCTTATTCTGAAGTATCACCCTGGAATCTGTAACTCAACATTACATATCACCCGTGCCATACATTTGGCCCGGAGATGCGGACGCGCTGACAGACATACATTGTGCAGTGTGCTCCACAGCGAAGGAAACATCGGCGTGGGGTTAACTGATTTTTGCAAAGATGTCTGGTTATGACCACAGCTTCGAAACGTCCACTTTTCTTTATACGATTGCTTGCTTGATAACGCCGCGTGACCAGTATCTCCCCGAAATCTAAAGGCTCATTACCTTCAGCGAACTTTCAGTCATTCTGCTGACCCGCCCGGTCACCAGTACTACTCAGTCCATCCAGTCTGTCCATCTATTTTGTCCATCCACTTATCGACAGGCACAGCACATTTGTCATACCCTCTACACGGAGTTTTTTTTTTGTAAACACCTCCAGTCTGGAGAAGGATGCGTCTCCGGCCCTAGCTTCTCCACCTTGTGTTGGCGCGGCTCGGACAACTCTGCATGAAATATAAACGAGGCCCATTTCCAGTGGCAATATCGGACCGTCTTACATGATGTCCTTTATGAATTACACCCTATTCCGAGCCGTTCACAGAGCTAGTTTCACATGTACTTGAATGGGGAGTCATTCTTTTGAAATAATTCCTTTCTCGTATGATTAACAAGATAACACTAAAACACTTCATCACTGACCTTAACATCGGAAAAACAACTTTTAGACGGCAAAAAATCCAAGGAGAAATGATGTTTTGGAGGTAGTGTCGACCTTAGTGACTGAGCCCCCTCGGCCGATTCAAGAAAGTGTCACGCCTGGTACAGACACTTCAGTGTCATTTTCCTCAGCGTGCATACCCACGAGTAACCGGAAGCCGGCAACTCTGCCCAAACCATGCATCCATTGTGCTATAACTTCATGACGCGGCGCTGAGGATAGCCAGATCCCGTGTGCGTGGCCTGGAGGATCATAATACATGAATAAATCTATGTTGCACAGTAACGCACTGCGTGCAGGCCTATCCCACCCATGGATCCCTTTCACAAACAACGCCTGCATAATCGACTGCGTGCGAAAGATGCTGGTAGACGGCAATACCATAGTTCCGTGAGAACATGACCAATCAAGAGGTCAAAACTGTTGTTGCTGAATGGAGTTTTTGTGACGCGCCGACTTCGAAGGTCCCTGCACCAAATCAGGAGGCAGCAAATACCCGCTGACGTCATCGGCACCTCGCTAAGCCACGTGGGGGGGGGGGGGCAGGGCTGTCGGCGCTCAGCACAGCGTGCATAACTCACCACCGACACGGGGCCGTCGCCAGCGGAGGCGTCTCGCGGACTTTATTTCAACAGCTTCCAGGCATGAGACCCTCACGTAACATTATATAGCGGCGGGTTATGTTCACCACCCCCCGCCCCCCCGCCCCGTCTCTCCAACGTACAGGCGTCCGAGAAAAATAGCCGAAAAATACCTGAGCGCCGACAGCCCAGGTATTTGCTCCCTGTAATGTATGGGGGCGGCAAACGGTCTGGACCCGGCCTCTTTAATAAGACAGACACCGGCCAAGGGACGCCCCCACGCTCCCTGTCATGTATGGGGGTGGCAAACGGTCTGGACCCGGCCTCGCAACAGGACAGACACCGGTCAAAGGACTCCCCACGCTCCCTGTCCGTGTATGGGGGCGGCAAACGGTCTGGACCCGGCCTCGCAACTGGACAGACACCGCATAGCCGCTGTTGACGACCGGCGGCGCAAGAGAGCGACGGGGTGGGTGGCGGGGCCCCACCGACGCTGTCAAACAGTGCAGAAGCCTGTCGTGTCACACAACGACCGTGGACCGCAGTCATTTCAGGCCCGCTTGGTACCCCCTCCCCCCCCCCTCCCTAGGTCGCATTGAACGGGCAGGCGACAGGGATACAGTGGTGGTTACGTGCAGTGGTGGGACAGGACCGCAAAAACACCGTCGCACAGGCAAAACTGACAGCACTTTTAGTCATGGCCCCTCCTGTGCGGCGATAAAACAGCAACCGAGGCACAACAGCAGCAGTGTTGGCTTGGTTTCATTCGGAGAAGAGCCCTTGAGCCAGAAGTAACCATTTCAGGGCTATGGGATGAAAGCGAGTGGATAATGGAGGAGCAAAACTGCCTGCATCTGGGGGTCCATCCACCGAGACTTAGGCCGCGCAGGGAGCTCGAAACGGGACACGTGCTCGTCGATCTGACGGGACCCAACAGAGGACACTAAGCCCACTCCCGGCGGGTGCATGCAGCTTACCCCGGACAAGCCGGGCGTTGCCGGGGTGTCGAATGAGGCGAAAATGAGGACGGAGGAGCGGGTTCAGCCTCGGTGTGGCAACGGACAAACCCCAGCGGTGGGCAGTGCCCCCCCCCCCCCTCCCTGCATGCACACAGCCACAGGACAAACCCCAGCAGTGGGCAGTGCCCCCCCCCCCTCCCTGCGTGCACACGGCCACAGGACAAACCCCAGCGGTGGGCAGTACCCCCCCCCCCTGCGTGCACACGGCCACAGGACAAACCCCAGCGGTGGCAGTACCCCCCCCCCCCCTCCCTGCGTGCACACGGCCACAGGACAAACCCCAGCGGTGGGCAGTGCCCCCCCCCCCTGCGTGCACACGGCCACACGACAAACCCCATCGGTGGGCAGTACCCCCCCCCCCTCCCTGCGTGCACGCGGTCACAAGCGCAGCTTCGGCACCACGGCGACGTTCACAACACGCACACAACACGTACACACAGGGATGTATACATGTCTTACAGGGGTACGTACAGTGGGAACATAAACGCGATGGTATGAGCGAAGTCGGGTAGATTGTAGACATTGCGGTAAGCATCCATTGCGCCGCGTCCCACTCTTAACCGTTGGAATGCAAAAGCAGTAATCATACCCCACTACCGCGATACCTCGCCTCTTACTTCTGGCACCAGGAGCCCTCTTCTCCAAGGGCACAATCCAGCCACAACGAGCGGTGTCAATCAGAACACGGGGAGAGGAGGGAGGGGAGGGGGCAGGGGCGACCGGCCAGCGTTCTTCAACCTTGTAAAAAAGCATGCTTCCCCTAAACGACATCCCTCAGTAAAGGCCGCCTCTACCCTGCAGGCCTGTCCGACCCCGCCGCGCCGCCGCCGGAGGGGCCGGCCGCCACCGAGTGGGACCTGCCGAGACCACGCACCTGGCGCACGCGCCGACAGAACAGAGCGTCCACCGGACAACCGACCACGGCCAGCAGGCTGCGCGCTCTCGTGATGGCTGTGTTCAGTAGCTTGCAGTCGGTCAAGAAGCGGTAGTCGCCGGCCGTGTCGGCGCACGAGTCGCGCGTGCGCACCGTCGACACGAACACCGCCCGGAACTCCTTGCCTGCCGGCGGCCGGGCGTCAGTAGCCGAGTGGCGCGCGGCGCTGCTTTCGGACTACGCGGTCCTGGGTTCAACCCGCGCAGCAGGGGGACTTGGGCGCTCTCGGTTTTTCTCGGGCGGCCGCAGCGTTTACAGCCGTGGTGACAGTTACGCATGTGGGCACATGCATTGGCCAGCGCTATCGCCATTCTGCTGCGTGTTGTATACGCAGCGACATTCAGTACTGAGGGGACGGGCCCGCACATAACCAATGGGATGAGCGGGGGCGGAGTCAAGTCCGTCGAGAGACCAATGACGGCTTGCGGGTGAGAAGATGACGTCATATACTCCGTTCGGAGGAATGCACACAGCGAACGCGGACGACTGATCACGACAAACAGTGATGGGACAGAAAGCCAGGCCAAGGTTGCAGGCGGAATGCTGACGATACCTTTTACAAACAAGAAGCAGCGCTGACACCTTGCCTCTCTGACAATGACATGACATGACAACGACAATGACGACAGCGACAAGCGACATCTACGATTCAATGATAGGGAGATGGGCACAACACGCTACATACCCGGCGGTCGAACAAAGCTGAGGCGGTGCAGCACCTTCTCCCCCCTCCCCCCCCTCCCAGCACGTACAGCCTCGTGTAAATGTGTGCAAATGGCTTGGAGGCGGAAGCCCTAGAAATCGCTGGTTTGATCTTTCGAGATCCATTCAACTGGATGCAGTTGGACAAGGTGTTGAGGCGTAGTTGAGAACATGGCGTCAGCTGGTCAGTCTTTCAGCTTGCATGCTACTGCCATTCTTCGAGCGTACTTATCCTCGTTCTCTCAAAAAACGAATATTGCTCACAGGTGCACGAGTTCATAACGAACAAAACGCCATCGTATTCAATGGTTACGTATCCGCAGTCAAAATAGTGCGCGCGGTCTCCGACGGAGCATCAAGCCGACGGCAGCCGCGTAAAGGGTCTCCCACCCAGCAAACACACAGGGGCCATGTCAACAACGTCTTCCTCCCCGCCAGCACGTCGGAGCCATGTCAACAACGCCTCCCACCCCGCGAGCACGTCGGCGCCACGAAGTGTGCACACCCCACTTACGCCCGCCGAAGACGGCAACATGCCACCGCGCAGCACACTTGATTATCTGCGCGTTTTGTTGCGACCCTGCCGTTGCTCCTAAACTCCAGGACACCCTGACGGCCGCCGGGGAACGACGTCACGGGCGGGCGTGGCCCGCCGCCGGCCGCCGCAGCGCCGCCGTGCTCACCTCCTCCACCGGTGCAGCGACGCCTCCCGCCCGCAACGCGTCCTCTCGCGCGCGATCACGACTCCGGCCGCCACAAACCGTCGCGGGTCATTTGTCCCGCACGCTCAGCGGCCGGTGGCGAGCACCCTCCGCCGCGTCACCGCGCGCACACACGCACACACGCACGCGCACACCCAGTGTTGCTCCGGGATAATTTTCGGGGAGTGTGGCAGCGGCGCGTCGCCGGCGCCGCGTGCTCGGAGCTCGGTGCACTGCCGTCTCGCCGGCGGTCCCCGGCGGCGGCGCGTGCAGGCGCGCACGGCGGTGCACAGTAACGAGTAGATCAATACCCGGGTAGGCTGTGTCGGCGACGGCCGCCGCCAACCGACCGGCGACACGTCAGCGTCAGCGTCAGCACTGCCGCCGCCGCCGCCGCCGCCGCCGGCTGGGTCGACCATTCCCGGGTGATGGAGCGCCTTCCGAGCCGAAGAAGGCGGCGCGCGCCCGCTGCCCGGCGTGCCGCCGCCGGTGACGCCGCCGCCGCGCCGGCCGGCTGTCGGGACGGCCGCGCCGGCCGCGGCGACGGCGTGTCCGACGTTGCACGCCGAGGAATGAATGGCCAGGGAGGCGGCGCGGTTCGCAACAGGCGGAGCGGCCCGGACGTCACGTGACTATATAAATATTAGATACATGTGGATATCGGTGGGAAGGAAGACAACCGCAGGCGTACGAGACAATGCACAGCGTGTCACAGCCGGCTCCTTGCGCCGTGTCCGCACGCTCGTTCGCAGCTGCCACAGCGTCTGACGGCTGCACAAGGCACGTGACGAAGCGCTTGGCTCGGGCGCCCGCGAGCACACGCCCCGACACAAACACCAGCTGAGTGAGTGGAGGGTGGACCAGGCCGGCCTTTAGTACTGCAGCTGAGGACCAGCTTCGCTACTGAGACGCGTCCAACGTATTCTGCATCCTCCGACGCCGCACGGGCAAAAACAGCTGTCATGTCTCTGCCAGCCCCCCCCCCCCCCCCCATAGACCCCGTGGGAGTCTGGCGCCAGCGTCTGACCCAATTCTCGCGCAAGACAGGTCGGCACGATTCGGAGCCGTACGACCAACCAAAGTGGCAGCAGGCAGACTGGCGCGGAGCCACACACCGCTGGTCCAGGGGAAGGGGACGCGGGGTCTCTCAGCCAGGGTAGAATCGCCAATATCGGCGAACAAACCGCCTCAACGAGCGTGCTTGCACCACGCCACAGACTTCTCCCCCGCGCTCTCCTGGGCCCTGGTATGGGGGAGGGGTGGATGGTGGTGTATGACTACGCTAATCGGGATCCACCTCCTACGCCATCAAAAAGCGGCCAAAGCGGCGCAACCAAGCGATAAAGGCTACCGCCCACACCGGCACACCGACTCACAGCCCCGTCGGCCCGCCGAAGGCTGCCGGTATTGATTCCAGGCGCTCACAACACCGGGCAGGATAACGCCCACGGCCATTACGCCGGCACAGCTGACGACGCGTGATGGACACCAAATATCTATTAGGCGCATGCGGACGATACACTCATACTGTCCTTCTGCAGTGACGGGCAATAATGTCACATAAAACGTAACGATGATAGCTCCGGGACTGGCCGGCAATGTCACGCTATTTGCGCTATTTTTGGTACTCCGCAAGGAGCACGTCTGGCCAACAACGCTAACAAATGGTGAAAGTTGCTACAGAGTGGCCACAGCAGGCACCAGTGCGCCAGCATAGCTACACCAGCGATGCGTCCGTAGCGGACGCGTACTTACCCTGCACGTTGAGCAGATGCTCCACGGTGACCGTGCTCAGGCGGCGACTCCTCAGCTCACTCCTGATCTTCTGCACCTGGAGACGCGGCCGGCGTCAGCACACACCGAGTCCGCTCGCGCCGCGGGCGCCGCCAGATCGGCGCTGGCCGCTGGCGCGCCACCAGCCCCGCCCGCGCTCGCCCACGTCTGCCGCACGCGTCACCTCCAGACGGCGCGCTCCCGACTTTGGCGCGCGAAAACAAACGCGCCCCAGCCGTGCTTCCGGCCGGCGCGTGAAAACGCCGTCTGATATTTCACATCATAGAGCTTGAAGTCGCACACCGCCTCGACGCCGCGCTGTTCCGTACCGGAAACCCGGCACCGCGGGTAAGAGAACAGCAACGCCCTACCCTAACGCAAACCGCCGACGGTGGGCCACTGACGTCATCGGCGTCACAGCATTCCCCGGTGCGGGTCGAGAGGAGGGGAGGGGTTTGTGTCACGTGTAGCAACAGGAGGAGCACTCTATGGCGCAATTTCGTGCCACGCGTTGTTCTGACACAGTCATCGCAGCAGCTGCCAAACCGGCGTTGTCATTGCTGTTGAACACCCGAGAAGCGCACCAGAGCGCGGCGCACGAGGTCACAAGAAACGGACACCGGAAACGCCGTGTTGACGACATTGATGACATCCCCCACCCCCACTAACACAGCACGCCGCCGCCTGACCACCGCACGCACGTCAGAGCCCGAGAGACGCGCACCGCCGCTGAAGGCGTCGAAGCGCTCGAGCCCGGCTGGCACCAGCGCCGGCGCGCCGGCGGCGGCGAGGCGCGGGCGCGCGCGCGCGCCGAACCTAACCTGCTCAGCGTAGGCGGACACGACGCAGATGGTGTCGTCGGCACGCTCGCCCCACTCCGCCGGCCAGGCGTCGAGCAGCGCCGCCACGCGGTCCGCCACCTCGTACACCTGGCGGGGCGGGGCGGGCGTCAGGCTGGCCGGCCGGCCGCCTGCGCGGTCAATCCGGCACGGCGATTACGTGGGGCTCACGACTCGGGCCCATAGCCATCAGTGGTAAGCCATGGCGCGCAGACAGTCATGATTTATACCTGGCTGATGAAGGATGTGCGACGGCCGAAACCAGCTGAAACCATCCCACTGAAACTCACTCATGTCTGTGCCAGCCGTGAAACTCAGCTGATGAAGATTACCACTCGATGAGGTTATTTCTCCTCTTGCATAAGTCCAACATGCCTCCAACCTTAAGCCGCTCTGCCCTTTTCCGCGGCGTCCATCCATCGCTGATCTTCACGTCCCTCCCACAGCCCTCCCCTTCCCTGAACTCAGCGACCCCTCCCCACCGCCGACCCCGCCCTTCCCCGCCGCCATAACCCTGACCTTTGTGTAGGACCCCGTTCCCAGCTGCCCTGACCTCCGCATCGTTGCAGTAGCCGGTGGTGCCGCTGCTCTGCCTGGCGGTGCCGCGCGCGCTGAAGAAGGTCACCGGCGGCAGGCTCGGGTGACGGCCCGGGTGGCCGCTGGACCGCAGTCGCCGGCCGTAGAACAGCTCGGAGGTCAGCTGAGAACGGAGCCACCGCCACCCCGTCAACGACGCCTGGTGACGGCAGGGGCCGCGGCAGGGACACCAGACCGTGGTAGGGGTACCGGACCCTGGCAGGGACATCAGCTGGAAACGGTGCCACCGCCACCCCGTCAACGACGCCTGATGACGGCAGGGGCCGCGGCAGGGACATCAGACCGTGGAAAGGGCACCGGACCCTAGCAGGGACATCAGACGGCAACAGGGACCACGGCAGGGACCGTGACAGGGGCACCAGCCGCCAACAGGAATTTACCGCGGCAGGAACACCGAACGACAGAGACCGTATCAGGGACACCATCCAACAGGGACTGTCAGGACACAGCCTCACAGCAGGGGCCCTGGCAGGAACACCAGCCATAACCGCAGAGGGTCACGACACGGCGCCGCGCGGGGAGGGTACACGAACATGAGAATGTCAAGGACTCGGTATCAAAGCCGTCCGAGACGCGCCGCCGAACACGGGGTTGTGTCAGGACTGACAGATGCTGCTCCGGTGCATAGCACGCGACACAGCTTATCGGCCTCAGCACCTGCCATCGATCTGTCCTGCCAGCACCTGCTATCGACCTGTCCTGCCAGAACACCGGGGTGTGACCGACAGCCCACCCGCGTGGCTCCGCCCACTCATTCCGTGACCTGACCTGGACACAGTCAGTGTGGCGGCGGTGACTGTTCCCCAACGAGACCCGCCACCGACCGGGCCCAGCCGCAGCACGGCGGCGACGGCTGCTCTCAGCGGAGACCCCCACCTGGACGATGTCGGCGTGGGAGCGGTAGTTCTCGTGCAGGGTGATGCAGCAGGGGAAGTCGGAGCCGTAGAGCGCCTGCAGTCGCTCCAGCAGCGAGCGCTGGTACTGCCGCTCCTGACACACCTCCGAGTACACGTCCGGCGACAGCTGACAGGCAGACGGGGGGAGGGTCAGGTACACGTCCGGCGACAGCTGACAGACGGGGGGGGGGGAGGGTCAGGTACACGTCCGGCGACAGCTGACAGACGGGGGGAGGGAGGGAAGGTCAGGTACACGTCCGGTGGTACCAGCAGTGACAGGCAGACGGGTTGGGGCACAGAGGGTACAGGGCGGAAGTCAGGTACACGTCCCGTGGTGCCAGCTGAACCACACAGAAGGGGGTACATGGGGAACAAGGGGACGGGGAGACAAGGGGTTACAGGGGGCACGGGGAGGGGGCGTTACACGTGCGGCGGTACCAGCCAAGCCGGACAGAGGGGTCCGCTACGGTACAAGTTCGCCGCCAGCTGAGCCAGACGGGGATAGGCAGGTCAGGTTCACACACCAACATCTCCTCAACAGCTATGGCAGCATGTCATCAATCCCCGGCCTCTTCTTCTCGCGCGTTCCGTACACGCGTCGCCATGTTAGCGTCCCCTTCCCTGACACCCTCCTCCGCCGTGTGCTGACCTGCAGGTGGTCTCCGGCCAGCACCAGCCTGGTGTGAGGACCGGCCAGCGAGAGGACCCTCGCCACCTCCCACTCCAGCGCCTGCGCCGCTTCGTCCACCAACAGGTGGGTGAACGTGCCCTCCGGCAGGTTCAGGCAGGTCAGGTACCTGCGGGGAACAAGCGCAGGACTGGGTCACGGGACGGAGACGGGGTGGGTACACCGAGGCAGCAGGTCGTGCGCCTGCCGGGAACGAATACGGAGCAGGGCTCTCGAACAGAACACGTACGCCGCGACGGCAAGGAGGGAGAGAGGGAGAGAGAGCACGACCAGCGGACACACTAGGCCGGGGAATGATTCTCAGGGGACATAGAGCGAGGATGCGCCGCTGGTATGTGGAGATAATTTCTAGCTGACGGAATAAATTCATACGGGGCACACACACCGGACCTTGTCCGGCATAACGAACAAAATCAAAACGTCACACCGGGACAGCGACGCGGCGCCACACCACGTGACCCTCACTTGGTGATGGAGAGCGTGGCGACGACCACCCTGTGCTTCAGCACGTCCTCGACGCTGGGCCTTCTGAAGGTGACGTCGGGGTCGTCAGGGTTCTCCTCCAGTAAGGCGAACTGAGAACGATTACACGCTAATTAGCGGAGAAAGCCGGAGAGATCAAAACTCCCGCGGAGCAAATGAAGTTCTGCTTTCCTTGCAGACTTCTCACTTGAAGAAACGCCCTTAAATGCTAGCTCGACCTCCCAAAGACTAGGCATGCATCGGTAGCTACTGCGCTACATTTCTGAAGTTGACTGTGTAGCATTTCACTTGCAAAATTATTCATAGTTAACCTAAAACAATGAGAGAGAACCCGGAGGCCCGGAGCCAGAAAGATACAAGCAAATCGCCTTCGGTTCAGCAAAGCCCAGATGGCGCCCTGATACTGACATGGTACCTCTGATACTGACCTGATGCCTCCAGTACTGACCTGGTTCCTCCAGTACTGACCTGGTTCTTCCAGCATTTTCCTGATGCCTCCAGTATTGACCTGGTGTCTCCGGCACTCACCTGATGCCTACAGTACTGACCCGACACCTCCAGTACTGACCTGGCGCCCCCAGTACTGACCCGACACCTCCAGTACTGACCTGGCGCCCCTAGTACTGACTCGACACCTCCAGTACTGACCTGGCGCCCCCTGTACTGACCCGACACCTCCAGTACTGACCTGGCGCCCCCAGCACTGACCCGACACCTCCAGTACTGACCTGGCGCCCCCAGTACTGACCCGACACCTCCAGTACTGACCTGGCGCCCCCGGTGCTGACCCGACACCTCCAGTACTGACCTGGCGCCCCCTGTACTGACCCGACACCTCCAGTACTGATCTGGCGCCCCCAGCACTGACCCGACACCTCCAGTACTGACCTGGCGCCCCCAGCACTGACCCGACACCTCCAGTACTGACCTGGCGCACGCTGGCATGGACGGTGCCGAGCCAGCGGTGCCGGTAATAGACCCGCAGGGGACGAGCCGCCTCCAGTCCCGCCTCCAAGTAGCCGGAGAGGTACTCCCGGATGTACAGGTCGGCGGCGCTGGCGAAGACACGAGGTGGTACAGAGCCTGAGCAGTGGCAGTCACACACCAAGGCGTAAGCGTGCGTCGTGCGGAAGCTTACGCACGACGGGGTTAGAAAAAGTGTCGTTGTACCGTGCCAGCATTACGAGCGAGTCGCGTGCAGCCAGCGGAGCTAAGACAGCGTCTACATGCTGGAGGCAGCATCGAATGTAAAGCCATCTCATGGAGCACCCCCTCGGCGGAAGCTGATTTCGATCAGATGCCCGATACAACATTGAGGTCGAGACTGACCTGTTCCGCCCTCCCCCCACCCCCCCCCCCCCCCACACACCATCTTCGACGCCCGCCTCGGCCCCCACCTGTTGCTGTGCGTGCAGACCAGTATGCGCGCCTCTGGCTGATTGGTGAGGATGTGCTTGATGCCGTGTGCCATGGTGAACGTCTTGCCCGTGCCGTACGGGCCTATGGGTACATATACATAAGGCGTTGGTCGGACGCACGCCGCAGAGACATCGGCTCAGACCATTCCATGACCATGTTGTCGACGCCTGACCATCACCAGCGAGCGCAAACAGCGCATCACGACCGCCAGACGCTCTACACCGCTCTGCATCGATCTGCTTCCTTCCGCCGCCGGATTCACTGCTGCCGAACACCTCGAGAAAAACGCATCGGGCGGGATTCGAACCTAAACCTCCCCATCGCGATCCCAGTGCCCTGCCGACCATGCCTGCTAGGAGGGCAGACAGCACGTGCGGCCGTCCCTCACGGTACAGCGGCTGGGCCGCGGCTCCGGAGTCTCCAGCAGCGGCCGAGCCTCCACAACACGCACACCCCCGCAGGCGGCACTGACCCAGCACGAGCACGGGCGGCAGCGGGTGCGCGACGGCCGCCGTCATGGCGTTGATGGCCTCCTTCTGCTTGATGTTCAGCTTGTCATCCTCGGGCCGCCAGTGGCTGCCGACAGGTGGCGCCACGGTCACGGATCCGACGGCCGCACTGGTCAGCGGTCCACCATCCGATGTGAGGCAGGGCGCCCTCCGCCGCAAACGCCAGTACAGCACCCAGGTCCAGGAGCAAACACCAGTACAGCACCCAGGTCCAGGAGCAAACACCAGTACAGCACCCAGGTCCAGGAGCAAACACCAATACAGCACCCAGGTCCAGGAACAAACACCAATACAACACCCGGGCCCAGGAACAAACACCAGTACAGCACGCAGGTCCAGGAGCAAACACCAGTACAGCACTCGGGCCAGGGAAGAGTGCACACAGGCGCAGTTAAACGGCGGCGTTTGAAACGCGCGCAGTGCGAAGCGATCGATTTGGAGCGTTTGCCACCGAAATTATGCCAACAGAGTTCGCTAGTGCGGTCAGGTTATGACAGGAGCTATGCATTTACAGATGTGGCATTAGCGCACGCCGTGTGTAGGTGAGACAAGACTTCACGACTGCCTGCTCTTTGTTGCCTGCCATCCTCGGCTTTGGCTGTCCTGTTCCATGCAATCTGAACATGTTGAGCCCAAAATCAGCGAACAGCTCCACACGGCTGTCCGAGAACCCCGAGTGTAATCAAAAACCCAGCCGGCAAGAGGCGACCCGGCGATTCTATCATGCTGCCCCTGTCAGTCCCTGTGCAGCCCGAGTCAAAGCTGTCGCACGCCGCGCGCCCGGCCAATCAGCGTCGGCCCCGCCCGCACCGACGGCGCCGCCGCACGTGGACGGCGCGCGCCGACACGCCCTCCGGGGAGACGTGTGTCGAGAGCTCCGAGCCCGTGTGGGCAGCCGCCTGCCTCGGCCAAGGAGTCTCGTGGTGCGGTGATGAGGTCTCGTTCGAAAACGAAGTGCTGACGTTAAGTGCTGAGAGTACTAGCGTTAACTGCTGAGAGTGCTGACGTTCAGTACCGAATAACACACCCTGGAACGTGAGAAAGTGAGATCGTAAAAGTGAGGTCTGGTCGGAGAGTTGGTCGGAGAGTTCTCACTGATTCTCGAAGAGCCATGACCTGTTGCGGAGCAGTACACTAGCTCCCGCCCACCTGGCCGGGCTCCAGGGTATGGAGGGCCTCTCGCGGGTATCGGGGAACAGCAGGCGGGCCGCCCGTTCGGCCGCCAGCCGCACGCCCTCTTGCATGTCGCAGAAGGGCTGCCGGCTCGGCTGGAACCGGATGGCGGCGCGCAGCCAGCTGTCGCCGCTCACCTCTAGGTCTGACGGCGGTGTCAGCGGGTCAGGGTTCACATGGTCAGGGGTCACCGGGTCAGAGGTCGCCGGGTCAGGGGTCACCGGGCAAGGGTCACAGGGTCAGGGATCACAGGGTCGGAGGCCTCACGTTCAGGGATACAGATTCAGGGGGCACGGGTCACGGGGTCACAGGCCACAGGGTCAGAGTCAGGGTCACAGGGTCAGGGGTCACACGCTCAGGGGTGACAGGCTTAGGGGTCACAGGTCACGCAGTCACGGGCCACTGGGTGAGGGTCACAGGGTCACATGATCAGGGGTCACAGTCAAGGGTCACACCGACAGGAGTCACAGGGTCAGGGGACACACAGTGAAGCGTTACAGGACTACGGGGTCAGAGCGGGGAAGGGTCACCAGGGCAGGGAAGAGTCAAGGCTTCAGCGAAGGTCAGGGTGTAAGGGGACCAAACAGAAGAGGTAGTGGTGTGCGAAGATAGCAGCTCCACGCGAGGAAAGTGTAGGGTAAAAAGCGTGGAGCACGGAAATGAGCCAGCAGAGAGAATGATGTCCCGTTGACCATGGAGATACACATATGGGCACAATACTCAGGGTAGATAGCATCAGCAGACCAACATAGCACGGCATCATAGATGCCAAACGAACAAGGCGTGCGTTGTACTTCACGCCACTTCACGGTTTATTCAGTTTACAGTGATCAACCCAAGCATCGGCGTCGGTTGGACGAAAACATTTCCGACGAGGGAACTTGTAAAAATGTATTCCGATAACTCCTTCTTGTGACCACTTACCATCCACCATCTCACATGGAAGCCTGAAGAAGATTTCCTTCTTCGCTTTGGCAGCTATCAATACTTCGTACACCTTGCTCTTCTTTCCTCCAGTTTCCCGCTAAAAAGATGGGCAAACATGTCATCTTAGCTGCACGGGGATTCAGGCCACACCGCTACCGGCTTTGATAACCAGCTACGACCTCGCCTTTCGGCCTCGGTGATCTAACCGGCATAAGTTACTAACCTGGCTGCCTCAATAGACAGCCAGTATGTCTCATGGCATGCCAACCGGCCTCGTGACTAGTGACACTGACCAGACCTGACCCAACCTGACCTGACCTGACCCAAGACGCCAACCTGGCAGACCCACCTGAACTGACGCACGGCGCTGCACTGGCTCGCCACCCCAACCTGACCCGAGACACCTGACCTGACCTGACCTGATTGAGCGGCGCCAGCAGCGCCCGCTGGCACGTGTCCAGTATGAGCCGACCAGCGGCGGTGTCTGCCGACAGCTCGTGCTGCGTGCAGAGCCGGGCGAACAGCTCTCCGGTTCTGGCGTGGTGGTGCCTGGCGGCGGCGGCGACGGCCGCACAAAAGCAAGCGTCATGTCACAGGTCCGAGCGCAACAGCTGCCGGGCCACGGCGCAGCGACGCCGCCGACTGGCTGCCAACCCGGTAACAACAACCCCCACGTGGTCTTTGGTTTGACATCGACACAGGCACGACAAAACGTCACTGGGGCTTATAGGCTGGGGACATGAATCACCCCAACTTAGCTGTAAATATAAACCCGGTAATTCCAGCATGCAGCGACGCTGCATGCAATGAGAGCAGGCTAAAACCGCGCCCATTTTCCCCCTATGGCTGGCCGACCATATGGCTGACCATATGGCAGTATGGATCATATGGATGCTAGAGCATCGTCACCCGCGGAGTACCGCCACCGACGGGCGGCAACGACTGCACCGGCCCACCACACCCAACCGGATGACCGGAGATACGCGGTTCCGCTGGTCGCCAGCAGTCAGACTGACTACAGCCCCGGACCTCCGCGGCTTGCGGTACCCTCCTCGCTCTTCGCTGAACGTCCTGCTCCCGCCCCCCGCCCCGCCCCCGCGCTCCGCACCCGCCCTCCTCACCCGGTGTCGGGCAGCAGCACAAAGTGATCCACCAGCCTCAGCTCGGTGGTGACGTTGAAGCGGCTCAGCAGCGCGGTGCGCGCCGCCTCCTCCAGCTGGAGCAGCGCGCCCGCCAGCGGCGCGTAACTGTCCGGCGCCAGCGGACCGGCCGGCGGCTCGGCCAGCGCCGGCCCCGGCGGCGGGTGGGCCGCCTGCAGCGCGCGGTCCTGCCAGTCGGGCGGGGTCGGGTCTGGCGCGAACGCCACCACCTGGCGGCCAACACTGCAGTCAGCGGGAGCGGGGCGCGGCGGGCGGCGCGCCGGGCGGGAGGCGCGCCGCGCCGGCTGGTGAAGTGGGCGGAGACGCGGGCGACGTCTGAACTGGCCGAGGGCTTGACTTCGAAATACTGCACTGAGGGACTTGGGAGACTTGTGCTCAGTAACTTTGCGTTGCCTGAGGCCCAGCACTTCCCTGTTCTGTTCCGTCCGATATGTCAGCTCTGAGCCGACCCAGTGCTGTATAGAAAATCCGACACATTCTAACAGCTGACTTATCTCCGCCCCTACTCTGGTTTCACCTCGGCGTGCCCGCTGCCACCATCTGGACAAACATGTAAGCCATGGTATTCCAGTCGCTCACTAGATGGCAGCACCGACCTGCACAGCCTCGTCTTTCCAGCCGGCGGTCGAGACGGAGAGCTGGTCACGCAGTTCGTCAACGGCGCATCCCGTCGTGCGGGGTGTCACGCTGGCCTGCAGGGAGCACAGCATGGGCGCGTGGTGTGGGAACACCAGCGCCAGCTGCTGCCGATACTGGCCGTACACGTCCGCGCTGAAGGTCACCGTCACCTCGAACGACACCTGTCGGTTACAGACAGTACTTGAAGTTAAGCAGCACACCAGTACGGGCGCTGGGGAGGAGCAGAGGTCACTGCAGAGCGCAATCACTACGTCAGCGAACAATGCAGCCATGGTCACAATAACGTCTCCGGGGTCGAAAGACAGCGGCAAAACTGCAGCCCGTATCGGTTGGTCACGCCAATAAGGACATGCCGACAAACGTCTCCTAACTTATACGCTGTGTTGCAAGATGTGGTGCACTGAGTGGAACAGCATGTCAATATGGGCGTCTGCATTTTATATATTAAAAGATCAATTTCCTTTTAAAAAATACTCATCGAGCACTGGCACGTCTTGACTCTGTCCACACGTCGTCCGGTCTGTCATTGTGACAACATACGCGACGGTGCTCTGCGCAGCCCGTCTGGCCGGAACTTGGCAGGGGACCCTCACCACCTCCCCCCCCCCTCCCCGCTGCCGCTCACCGGCGCGCCGCCTTGGCTGGAGTGTTCGACGAGCGCGCGGTCGGGACACGTCCACTCGCGGCCGTCGACGAGCAGCGGCCGCGGCAGCAACGGCGCGCGCAGCTCGTCCACGCGGAAGCAGGGTCGCGAGGTGACCTCCAGCAGGCCCAGCGCCTCGGGCAGGGAGCCGGCTGTCACCGCCACGCGCCAGTGCAGCGGCGCGCCCTTATGTGTGGTCACGACGGCGGCCGCCGGCTGCACGGCGAGGCGCGCGAAGGCGGGCAGCACGGCGCCCACCTTCCAGTCGGCCTCCACCCGCGACTGCGGCACGACGGGGCGGCAGTCAGGGGCAGAACGGGCAGGGGACAGGGGTGTCAGGAGCCGAGCGGGCAGGGGACGGGGAAGTCAGGGGCCGAACGGGCAGGGGACAGGGGTGCCAGGGACCAGGACAGTGCACAGGGGAGTCAGGGGCCGAGCAGGCAGGGAAGCCAGGAGTCGGGACGAGAGGGATACAGTGGAGTCAGGGGCCAGGCGGGTAGGGTAGAGAGGAGCCAGGGGCTGAGCAGGAAGGGAAGTCAGGGGCCGGGCGAGAGGGTACAGAGGAGTCCGGAGCCGGGACAGGCGCAGAGGAGTTAGGGACTGAGCGGGCGGGTGGCTTCAGGGGCCGGGACAGTGTTCCGGGTCGTCAGCGGCCGGCACGGGCAGCGGACAGGGTGACAGGGGTTGGCAAGGTGTCACCAACTGAAGCCGTTGGAGGGCCATCACACTAAACAGGTGCGGGAATGAGGAAGGGGGCGGGCGAGGCCGGCGGTCTTGCATAGTGCTGGGGAAGTCATCCTGGACTGGACGTGTGAGAGGCGGAATGAGCACTGCAACGGACTGCGGGCGTCACAGAACCCAACTGAAACTCTAGGGAGGCGGCGGGACGCACATACACACGCACGCACGCACGCACACGCAGACCTGGGAGACAAACACAGGTGCCGGTCCTCTCATTTCGCGTGCGGTCTAGCAGCCTGCACACAACGCCGACAGCGTGGCGATAGGCGCGCTCGCAGAGCAGGGGAGCCTGTGACAAGCCCTCCCGCGCAGATGGGTGCCGTAAGGCGTCCAAATTATGAGTGCATATATTTAATGAAAAACCATGGCACGGGAGGTGCATGGAGTAATTTCCACCCTCTGGCTGTTGCACAGATCACCCCCAAGACGGCACTGAACTGGAGCTCCGATGGGAAGCGCTGGAGAAGCCGATACCGAAATGGCCACGGACTTTTGAGGCGGGTTGCACTTGTTCAGTGTGGTGCGAATAATCTTTGCCATTCCCACACCCTTAAAAGAAATGTTACACATTTGTATGGGGTTTTGAACTGAAACGGCCATCCTCAAGATCATTCCGCGCAGTTTACAGCCCTGTCCCTCTTAACGACATAATCCTTTCAGTTTCTGAGCTACACGCCCGCAAAAGTGAGCAGGCTATTTCTGGGAGGCTATTTCATATTTCAAGGCCACCCAGGCATCCATGACGTCAAAATAACGCCATTCAAATTCCACCATTCCTGGTCCTGCTATGCGTCGATCAAGACCAAGAGAATGTAACTGTCCAGTCGTTCATATCCGACGTTCGTGGGCACGATTTCCAGATATAACGGCCGTCCATTAGCTCTCACTTAATGTTCTGCAGGCTACAATGACGTACTCAAACAATGACACATTAAGGAACATATTTACTAAACAGAGAGACTGCGCTGTATAGGGCAGCCTCTTCGCCTCAAGGACGACTTAAATATACCAATAGTTATAATAGCACCAAAAGTGAGTTTATTTCATCATATCTGAGCAAGCAACTTGTCCAATGACCTCCCACCTGTATCTTTCCGCGGCCAATCGCGGACAGGATGTGGTCCGGGTCGAACCGGACCATCCATTCCTGCAGCTCCGCATCACTGTGAGCGCGCACACAGAAGTCGCCGTGTGCGCAGCTGGCGCCATCTCTGGCAGGACAGCGCAGGTACTGGTCTGGCGTCAGGCCGCGGGGCGGCGCACGGTACCGCCAGCGCGGCCGGACGTCTGGCTTCACTGAAACAAGCGGTGGCTGACTGAGGACACAGCACAGGCAACGCCAGATCTGGGGGCAGCGCCTGACGCGCCTCCGAGCTCGGCTCAGTCGGAGCAGCGGCGCCAACGTCATCGCGCGTGGCTTTCGGGGACTCCGACGCAACTAGTTCACGCCATGATCCGCGCGGCGTGGCGGCAATCAGCTCCAATCCGCCCATCTCTCCTCCTTTCCGCTCCAAACTGTATCCTCGCGTAACGCACCATCTATACGGGCCAAGCCCGGAGCCTAAGTCTCGGTGGGGCACTCCCAGGTGCGTGCAGTCTTGCCTCACCACTCTCCTTCGTTCCATAGCCCGCAATGGTCACTACCAGCCAAATGGTCACTACAGCTCACGCCACCACGCAATGATCACTCCGCAATGGTCACTACAGCTCACGCCACCACGCAATGATCACTCCGCAATGGTCACTACAGCTAACGCCACCACACCATGATCGCTCCGCAATGGCCACTACAGCTCACCCAAATCATACCTGAACCGACACAGTGAGGGTCACGGCCAGTCCAGCGACGATGAAAGCTGGATCAGCGAAGACATGGGGACGAGGCGGCTCTGAATACGCCAAGCCGCAGTTTTCCTGCAATGACTTTAGATTCAGCTTCAGCTCTGAGTTGTTTTCCACCGATGGCTTTGGTCTCGCCATCGTGCCATTCTAAATGGCTGGTTTCCACTCTGGCTTTGACAGCCGGCTTCGGCTTTAAATATTTTTGGGGGATCATGGCTCCGACTTTGGCTTCATAGGATTTTGAATTGGCGGCTCCGGCTTTGTCATCATTATTTTTCGCCCCGGTTGCGGCTTCACTTTCCAAAGCCGTCTTACCCGTCCTGTCACTCCAATATACGGTAACATCTTCGAGGCTGCGACACATACATGGCTTCAGGTAAGAAAAAACCGCCGGTCCTTCCCAGGATCAGTTCGCACATAACAACCGCCGGGAACCCAGTCCCCGCAGCGTTGCGTGCATACTGACACATAAGACGGGGGCGGCAGAACGAAAAATTTACCTTCCGTAACGCACGAAGGCCTCGCCTCAGTCATTGCGAGGATATCCAGTACCGTTAAAAAAACGTATAGTAGATTCCGATTCGTCGTAACTTTCAACTAGCAGGTTCGCTTCGCTTCCCATTCCTTAAGTTCAAAGCCGCTAAAGATGATGATCATCATTTGGACTTAAGGGCGCGCCGAATGCCCGGGCCAGTCGAAAGGCCAGGCCAGGCGCCCGTCGAAACCCACCACTTCGACTTTGGCTTTCCCTATGCAAAGTTCGAAGGCATTGGCTTCAGATGCGGTTTCGTAGTTCTAAACTGCAAAGCCACCGACTTCGACTTCGAATCCAGCGCCACGTCATTGTCTTGGCATCAGATTGGACTTCGAAGCCAGAAGCCTAGCTTCGTCCATATAGCTGGTCCAGTGACGGCGACAAAATCCGTTAAGCAAGGTGATGGCGGAGTCAGTCCATGGACAGAGGCGGTAGGTCCAGTGAGGGCAATAAACCGGGTGACAATGGTCCGGTGACGACGAGAAAGTTCAACCAGTGACAGCGAAGTCGGTTTGATGATGGAGAGTCAGCCCATAGGCAGAGGCGGCCCGTCCAGTGACGGCAAAAGGCCGGGCGGCAGTTGGCCGAGTGACGGCGGCAATAAGTCCAGTGACAGTGACGGCCAGGCCAGTGGCGCCGAAAGCCAGCCCAGTGACGGCAAAAGGCCGGGCGGCAGTTGGCC